TTAGGGAAGGACATGGGATGTTTGTGAGCAGCCCTCTCCCACCCCACAGCGACAATTCAACAATTCCCACACAGGTGTCCTAAGCAGCAAAAAAGCTCAGCCTCCAACCCATCCCCACAGCAGCACTCATACCTCCAGAAAAACTCCTTTATTTCCATCCAGTTTCACCACTGGTACAGAAAATACAAAAGAAGAAAAACAAAACCAAAAAAATAGGCTTTTGTGTGCCCCCCACCCCCCGTCCCCGAAGCGTGCCGACTATTTACAGGCAGACCGAGCGGCTCAGTGGCAGCAGCTGCACTTGCTGCTCGTCGGCTCCTTGCACACGCAGCCCTTGGCGCAGTTGCTGCAGCTCGCAGGGCAGCAGGAGCAGCAACCTGGGGGGGACACAAGAGTTAGGAGGTAGGTGCAAGGGACTGGGGCTCTGTGAGGCAGGGGGACCCGATGGAGAGTGGGGAACACCACCTCTGCATGAGCAGGGCTGATGATCCCAATGGGTTGGAGCTCTCCATTAGGATCCCAATGGGCTGGAGGTCTCCATGAGGGTCCTACAGGGTGGGGGCAGCCCCCCAGAGGGGAGGGTGAGTGTGTGTTGCAATGGGCCAGGGGAAGAGGGAGGGATCCCATGAAGGTCCAAGAGGGCAAGAGAGGGAGTGATGGGCTCTCCATACAGAGTTTAACACGGCAAGAGGGGTTGTCTACAGGGTAAGAGTTGGGAAGTCCCCAATGGGTCCGACAGAGCAAGAAAGAGCTCCCTTGTGGAACAGGAAGGTGTCCGTGGATCCCACAGGGCATGGAGGGGTTGCCCTATGGGGCAGCGAGGTGCCCAGGGAGCCCCACAGTACAAGAAGTTTCCCGATGGAACAGAGAGGTGCCCAAGGATGTCCCAAAAACAAGGCCGGGCCCCGCACTCACTCTTGCGGCAGCTCCGGCAGCGGCAGTTCTTGCACTTGCAGGACCCTGCGCAGGAGCAGGAGTCACCTGGAGAGCGAGGGAAGGAGAGCGGGCTCAGCCGGAGTCGGGCAGCCGGGAGCCAGGCGGGAGGCGGCCGGGACACGACGGGGCACTTACCGGCGGCACACGTGCAGTCCTGGGGGTCCATGGCTCGGCTCGGCTCGGCTTGGTTTAGCTCAGTCTAGCTCGGCTCGATTCGGCGGGGGTAGCAGCGGTACAGAGTAGCGCCGGTCGGTCGCTATTTATGGGGCAGGACGCGGGGCGGTGCTGGCGCTGCGCACGGTGCAGCGGGGCCGCCGGCACCGGGGCCGTGCTCACAGGGGGTGGTGCCGTGCCGTGCCGTGCTCAGCCCGGGGCCGTGCTCAGCCCGGGGCCGTGCTCAGCGGGGGCCGGGCCATGCCGTGCTCACCCCGGGGCTATGCTCGCCCTCGGGCCGTGCTCACCGGGGGCGGTGCCGTGCCGTGCTCACTCGAGGGCAGTGCGCACCCCGGGGCCGTGCTCACCGGGCACCGTGCCCTACCCCCGGGCCGTGCTCACCGCGTAGCCGTGCCGTGCGGTGCTTACCCGGGTCACGGACCCGACCCCCCACCCCCGCTCCCAGCCCGGTCCGGGAGGCCGGGGTGTCCCTCCTGCACGCCCCGTCCCCGGCAGGGTGCTGCGCTCCGGGGCACCGAGACGCTGGAATGCGCGGGGTGTGGGGGTGACAGCAGTGGCACGGCACTGCCGCCGCGCCCTGCATGCCTGGGACAGCCCCGTGGCGCTGCCCCGTGTGTCCAGCGCTATGGTGCAGCGGTGCCCCCACCGCAGGGGTGCCTGTGGGGTGCACGGGGCTGTCCCTGAGGATGAGACTGTTCCAGCACCCCACTGGAGAGTGGGATGGCGCTGGGCAGCCCCCGTGGGGCTGGAGTGCTCAGATGGCCTCCCGGGAGGGGTGAATTACAGAACACCCTGAGTTGGAAGAGACCCACAAGGGTCATCGCATGAGGCTCCTGAACCTGCTCAAGACAACTCCAAAAAGCACGCCACGTCCTTGAGTGTGTTGTCCAAAAACTTCCTTAGCCTGGCTTGGTGCAGTGACCACTTCCTTGGGGAGCCTGTTCCAGGGCTCAACTACTTTCTGGGTAAAGAATATTTTCCTAATACCCAATCTAAACCTCCCTTGACAGAGTTTCATGCACTTCCCTCGAGTGAGCATGGGGATGCAGTGTGCCAGTTTGGCATTGCCAGCTAGGAGCTGCTGGGAATCACTTTCTCATAAACCCTCTGAGTTTTCCACCTCGTCACAGGGTTTATTTGCCAACGGGCTTCCACCACCTCACACGTGCCCATGGCCAGTTCAGCATCCAGCATGGCAAACAGTGGCTGGGCCAGGGCCAGGCTGTCCCCCTGCTTGCACCCCCTGCTCTCGGTGGTGTCGCAGATGGGGCAAGCCTGGGTTGAGAGCTGGTGCTGTAGCTGGGCCCATCCCCGTGGAGCCCGGGCCAGCGGGCTCTAGGACCGGGAGAGGCTCAGTGACCCGGGTGGCTGTGCCAGGAACGGCTCGTGCTTGTTTGCAAGGGCACGGAGTTGTTTTTTTCCTGGCACTGTTTGCCAGCAGCAGTGAGGCGAAGCCAGCAGGCACTGCACACGCCACTGGCTGAGCGGGAAGGAGGAGAGGTGCAATAACCGAGCACGCGTGGTGTCACTGCACACAAACACGGGTTGGGAATTAACTTCCCTCCCTCCCGGACAGCCCCAGCGCTCCGGGAATGTGCTGCACCCGCGGGCCCCCTCCAGCAGGGCGGGCTCTGCTGAGGAAAAGGGAGCCTGACCTGCCAAAATGGGATCGTGCACCCCTGCACGGGGCCGTTCCAAAGGTGAGGGGTGACTGTGCAGGGCCAAAGCTGCAGGGAAAGCAAGGGAATTCCCAGATTGCCAGGAATCCTGTGTATCATACATGGAGGGGCTGTGCTGAATCCTGGGACACTTTGTCCTGGCGCCACGTCACTGTGAGCGGGAAAAGGCAGCACAGCATCCCCACAGAACTGTAGGTGAAGCTGTGATTGGAAAAGAGCCTGGAAAATTCCTGATTTCCCAATCTGAGCATTTCCACTAAATAATGAGGTCATCCCACAAGCAGAACAGGGAGGAATTAACGAGTACTCCCTGAGCCACGGGCTTGCTGAAAGGCTGTGCCAGATATCAATGGGGAGAGGAGAGCTCAGAGGGGTCTGCTGTATTATGGCTGGTATTCCAATTTCCCGGGGCACAGAGTAGTTAAACCCAAGCCTGTTCCCATGTAAGAGGAGTGCCATGTCCAACTCTGATTTTATAGCAGTCATAAAGTCAGCAGCAGAGCCGCAGCTGCCCAACACGGGTCTCAGGGCTCAGAGTGAGGATGCTGGAACCTCTGTCTGCCCACCCTCCCTCTCTCCCCACCACTTCCCCTGAAGGTAGGGGACAGCATCCGACAGCTGCTTTCCATCATACTGCCACGGGGCACAGGGTTGGGCACAGCACAGAGCCATGGGGCAGGACCACAGCAAAGCCACAGGGGCCAGCAAAGCCAGACTGATTCTGTGAGCTTTGCTGCTTAAACCAGATGTTTGGTGATAAATCCCATTAGCAACCTCTCCTTCACTCTTGTTGTGAGCTCACCAGTGATGTTTCTGTATGGTTGGCACTTAACATCTCTCTGGGTTGGAAGGAATAAAGATAACCCTGCTCTTTGCAGCGTGGAGTTTAGCGTGATTGCTCCATGCCTGCCACGTCCTGCCCTGCCTAAATTCAGCTGACACAGGGGTGGCCTTTGCACCTGCCAGAAGTGTGGGGTGATGGTGACATGTCAGGGGATGCCCTGAGGGAGGAGCAGAGGGGTACCCCCTAAGGATTGGCGCCCTGAGCAGCCCCTGGGCAGGGGTGCTGTGCTGTAGGCTGTGCCAAATCCCTGGCTGAGTCCTGGTGGTGGTGACTGGGTGGGTCAGGAAAGGTTTTTAACCTAAAAAGTGACCATGAACAGCTGCATTTGAGGAGTGTGGGGACAGGCAGAGCCTGTCGTGTTCCTGGGAAGCAGCAGGGTGGCACAGGGCACCTGGGGTGCAGTGTTCTGGCAGCAGCATGGCTGTGCTTGGGCAGAGTGAGCATCACACCCTGACATGGGCATTGCAGGCATCACATCCCATTGTTAGTTTGCACCCTGGCATAGGTATCCCATCCCATTGTGGGCATTCAGCCCCATCACAGGCATTGCACCCCATCGCATCCCATCGCTGGAATCCTGGAATGGGCATTGCAAACCACAACGGGCATCACTCTCTGGTTTGGGCATCACGTCCCATCACAGGCACCGAACCCTATTGCAGGCAGTGCACCCTTTTGTGGGGATCACACGCCATTGTGTGCACTGGACCTCACAGTGCAGAACCAGGTCACCTGAGCACCAGGCGACCAGGGGCACCCAGGAGCACCCAGACAGACTGGCAGAGGTGGCAGAGGGATAAGCAATGTGGTTCTACCAGCCAATTCAACTAAACTGCCAGGAGGAAAACTAAACCTGTTTCTCTGCCACCCCACCTGCCGTGGAAATATTCCCCCTGGAAATGGGCAGGGCTAGGCTGCTTATTACAGTGAAAGCTTGTAATAACGAGCTGCTCATTAGCCCCGAGGATCTCTGGTTGGAGGAGACAGCATGGGATTTGCCCCTGGGCAACAAGAGGGTGGTGGGGAGCAGAAAATTCCCTTATTGTGTAGGGAAAGTGTTAAAACAAGAGTCAGAACTACTGGTAGGGAGAGCAGAGCCAAGAGCAGAAGACAGGAGCAAAAACAAGACGCAGGCTGTTTGCCATGACCTCCCACACACGCTGTCCTCCCGCTCCCCAGGGAAACTGCCGCACCCAACACAAGTGCCAAGTTCCTCGTGCACCTTTATATACATATCACTTTATTTAGGTAGCTTATTACATGTCAAAGTGACAAACACTAAAGAAATCTGAACACATATATAAAAAAAAGACAACCAACATACACAATAAGGTTATTCTTCTTTGGCCCCCCCAGATGTGCATCACCCCCACATGTGCATCCAGGGGTCCCCTATTTGCAGCAGCTGCACTTGGCGGAGGGGGGCCCCTTGCAGACGCAGCCCTGTGCACACTTGGCACATCCAGCTGGGCAGCAGGAGCAGCAGCCTGTGGGAGACACAAAAAAAAAATAAAATCAAGGACATTCTCAGGAAGTCAGGCTGGGGCTTGGGAGGTCTCACTGTTTTGGAGACCTCCCATGTATTCATGTTGCTCCCTTTTAGCAGCATCCCTGCTCCTGGCAGTGTCTCCCAGGGTGTTTGTGCAGGCAGGGCTGGCACTGAGAGGCAGGGGCAGAGTGTGGTACTCCCGGGGGTTCACCAGGATTGCCCCAGTCCCTCTCTTTGAAACCCTCATGGCACACAGCTCTGCTGTGGGTGACAGCATCAGGAGCACCCAGAAGAAATCCCAGAGCTGGTTTCCTCCCCAGCATCCCCTTGTGCTGAGCCTGAGGTGCTATTGAGGGGAATGCTCAGGTTCAGGTGGTAGTGAGTGATTGTATTGCCTGGAGAGGGGGTGGGATTCACACTGTGCTCCTTTGGGGGCACAAAAACCTTATGTGAGGAATAAACTCACCACTGGCAATGCTAAGACTGATTTGATTCAGTGCATACACGGATGTGTAGTGAAAACCCTCTGAGTGTTTCTGCTCCCCGCCCCGGGGGCTCAGGGATCCCTCTTACCTTTTTTGCACGATGTACATTTGCAGTTTTTGCATTTACAGTTGTCCCCGCAGGTGCAGGTGCCGCCTAAAACAGGGAGAAAAGGAGAAAGAGAGGCTGAGAAGAGGTGGTGGGAGGGGATACCAACAACCCAGAGATCCGCGGGGAGCAGCACTGCCTGCCCTCCGAGCATCCTCTGATGCTTCAGCCTCGCTCAGAGGGGAGGTCACGGCATTCCCAGCCGCTTTCCAGCGAGACGCTCCCAGTGTGACACCGCAGTGCTGGGAGAGGGCTTCAGCTGCGGGCCCAGCCCGTACGAGAGAGAACACAGGAATGGCGGGGGAGGCCGGCGGGCGGGAGTGCCGGTGCTCCCGCCGGGATGCTGCGGCTCCCGCTGCCCCCGGGATGGAAGGAAGCGCTGCCTTACCTGTGGCACAAGGGCAATCCTGGGAGTCCATGTCTGGTGGGCTGGGTGCCGGCAGTCGGGCGCGTCGGGCGGCGGGAGGGAGCTTTGGCAGGACTCGCAGCCGCCTCCTATTTATCCTTGGGCAGCCGGGAGCGAGTGCAAAACCTCCGCCCCTGCAGCGTGCGCACGGCTCAGCCCGGCGCTGCCCCGGGCGCTGCTGATTCACGGCCGGGCGGCGCAGCGTGACCCGGGGCTCCCGGCAGAGCCGGCACGGGGGGACCACCCCTCTCTGCTGGGGTGTAGGAAGGGGTGCAGAGAACGGCCACAGCTCATCGCACAGGTGACACCTGTCTCAGGAGTGCTGCTGCACTGGGGGCTGAGGGTCTGTGCCCAGGGAGCCCCCACAGTCCAGCCCTTGATTGATTGACTGATACCAAAACCAAACTACCAATCTGATTTGGGGGATACATTAATCCAGGAAGTGCCGCCACTGCTAGGAAATCTCAGTCCCCTCCTCTCAGAGCTGGCACGGTGGGGTGATGGGGAGCTGGCACCATGAGGTGACAGGGATTCAGTCCCTGCTTGAGACCCTGTCCGCTGGTTCCTACACCCTCCCTGCAAGCAGGAGCAGCAACAAGCTGGACTGGCCTGGCCAGAGCCTGCCGTGCCCTCCCAGTGCCCCAGGACAGTGGCACCCACGTCCCCTTGGCGCCGTGCATGGCACCTCGGGGCCCTTCCCCGTCTCCTTCCCAGCTGGGTGCTCCATCCCACTCTCCTGAATTAATTTCCGTGTGTCATTAACTGGGTGTGCAGGGGAGGAGGGTGGCAGGCGAGATGCCATCACCCTGGTCAACTCCTCCAGCGGGTTTTACCCACCCACTCGGAAGCACAGCGAGGGTTTGGGGTGGAAGGCAAAGAAAAAATGATGCTTGCTGAGATTTTTGGTGTGGGGACAGTCTGCTTCATGTGCAGGAGGCACTGCCAGCTGTGGAGCATCCTTCCTCATCATTCCTGTGTTTCTGTGTGCTCCTTGGTGTCAGTGACACCCCATCCCAGCTGCCCCTTGCTCTGAGACTCCTTTTCCTTGGGGTTTTATCCCAGCTGGGTTTTGCCTGCAGTACCTGGCTGAGGCAGTTTATCCATGCTAATCCACCCAAAACAGCGGCCCAGGGAGTATTTTTACCACTCAGCTGTCTGGGCTTGTTGGGAGCTTGTTGGGTGACCTGATGGGGAGCATTGCCAGCTCCCCGACTCAGCGCCTCCTCCAGCCTCTCCAGGCCAGTGTGGGAAATCTGTATGGAAAAGCCTGAGAAAGGCAGAGCCAATGGGCCCCTTCCCCAACTTCTGTACCCTGGAGCAGCTTGGCAGTGCCCTGACATGCCAGCCCTGGGGCCATGTGAATGTCACATTGCTCTGATGCACTGGGGTGTGATGGCAGGGGACAGTGCCAGGGAGGAGGTGTGTGCCAAGAGTGTTATTGCTCCTGTGGGAGCAGGGAAACACAAACATGGGAAACACATGTGCTAATGGTCACCTGCCACCCTGGCTACAGCCCTCTGTACTGTGTTGGTGTCATGACAGAGGGGCAGCATCTCCTTGGGATCTTGCATTTGCTCTGCTCCTTGGCTGAAATAATCAGCCAAGTACTCCAATCAGCCAAGTACTGTGGTGCAGTAATATGCCAAAGGAAATGCTTCCTGCTGTGTTGTGATGGATTAATGGTAAACAGCAATATCACTGTTGTGCCTGTTGTGTCTTCCCCCACTGCCTGGCACCCTTGGCCACTAAGGCAAAAATTGGCCCTATCCCCAGCTGATGGTGGCCCAGGGATACAGGGACATGTGGCCTCTCCAAAATGGTCCCTCTCCTCTAGCATAGGGGGAGGAAGGTGGAGCCCACACGAAGGGAAGAGAACAATCTCTGCCATGAAAAGACAGGGTGCAGGAAAAGCTCTCCAGCATCTGTTCTTAGTCAGACCCCAGCTCGTTTTAGTTTCTTTCCTCTCTTTCTGCACAAAGGAAAAAAATCATCTTCCAGGTGATATAGGACTGAGAATCATTACTCTGGTAGATCTTACATTGCTCCCAGTCTATTCTGTAATTCATTTGGGACATTCTATAATTAATTTGGGATTGGACTGGAATAGTGGGTTGTCAGGCAGACACATACCAATCAGACCACCTCCAGAAGCAACCTGTGATTGGGGTGACAATGATGAGCAGGGGACACCTTCCTGCTGTTTAAACACCCCCCATGACAAGGTCTTGCCAGCCTCAGTTTGCCTTCTGGCACCTGCCCTCCATTTGCCTGGGGGGTCTCCATCATTTAAATGGGCCTAATGCTGCTCCTCAGAGCCAAGCAAAACAGGCAGGATCTCTGCACAGAATTTATTCACCAGCCCTTGCCATACCAGAGTTGTACCCCTTGGCTCTCCTGTCCCCTGCGTGGGATTCCTGGCTCTGTCCCCAGGCAATTCCCCGGAGATTGCCAGGTGGATTAACAGCAGTGAGTCAGCGTGGTGCTCCAGTGCTCCAGGAGATGATGTTCACGGGGAGGATGATGATGGCTGAGCATCACCATTGGCATTCGAGGGACAGGGATCCCTAGAAAGGAGACAAGGAAGCTGACAGCTTTCAGGACAGTGTGGCAGAGGCACCTGTTCCTGTGACACCTCAGGTGCCTCCAGCTGATTGCTGAAAGCCACAGGAAGGTGTCAGGGCTGGTGCCAGTGACTGGCAGTGACTCAGGGCTGGTGCCAGGCGGGCCAGGAGGGAGGCACAGCAGCCAGCTCCCGTGGAGGTGAGCTGGCACAGGTCTGCCCTGGCTCTCTGCTGAAGGACACGTGGCTCCAGTCACCTGTGGGCACACCAAGGTGCATAATGGACCAGCATCAGCCTCCAGCTGCCCGTGGTGCAGCCACCCAGCACATCCCCTTCTGGGGACCCTGCAGACAACTACAAGTCCCCCCTCATGGCACATATCCCCCAAAGTGCTTGCTCTGGGCTCATCATCCCCTCTGGAGCAGTTTGGTGCCCCCTCCTTCACCCAGATACAAGATCCCAGGCAGCCAGGGGGCTCAGCTGGCAAAGCACCATGGCTCAGTGGGTAAAGACTGGGCAGAGATGCAGGGGGCCATGAACCCCGTGTGGGCACAGCACCAGGACCCTGGGGGTGCCCTGGCCCTCACCATTGCCCACTGCTTGCCAGGCAGGGATGCTGATTCAGTGTACCCAGGGGTGGCCCTGACTCCACAGCAGCAGCAAGGGCAGCTCAGCTCTCCCTGCTCCAGCTGCCTCTTGGTCTCTGGGCAGGAGAGCCATGGATGGCCAGGGCTCAGCTGCCAGAGGTACAGGGAACCACAGCCCACCTGGCACCAGTCTTTTAAACCCAAATGGAGAAAATAAAAAATATTTTAGCACCCAGCACATGCAAGTGCTGAAAGCCAGCAGGAAGCTCTAGGAGCGATTGCTGCTTAGAAAGCAGGCTCAGCTTTGATCCGAATCTCAGGTTATTGTTTGCTGATGATAAACAAGTGTTTGAAACACGGGAAATAGGTGCTGACGTAGTTTTATTTTGCTGGTGCTTGCCAGCCCTTTGGCAGAGGAGGAAGAAGGTGAATCACCCGTTTTCTGCCCTGGGAAGCCATTCTCAACCACTCCCCATGTGCATAGGCAAAACCTTGGAAACATTTGGGAGTGAAACCGGATCAGTGGGGTGACCTCAGGCTGTGGAGACTTCTTTCTTTTTCCCAGAAAATTGGGAGCAAAGACTCATTCTTCTCTCAGTGGCAAACATTAGCTAAGCTCATTGTCTGTTCTCCCTCCTTGCATCTTCCTGGGAAGATGCCTGCTTCCCTGCCTGCACCTTGATTGCAGCTTTAGGAAAATACATCCCAGTGAGTGCTTCTCCAATATCAGCCATCAGCAAAGACGTGGCATGTCCCATTTTCTGGGGGAAATGCCCTTCTTGGGCACTTGCTAGCCCACATCACGTCTGTAACTGTAGGAAGGCACCTTCAGCGCGGGCCCGCTGGCGGTGGGAAGGGGACGGGCAGATTTCCATGGAGCAGGAATTGCACGGCGTGCAATCCTGGGACGCTTTCACAAGCCGGCAGCTCTCTTTGATGTGGGCTCTTTGGGAGCCGCCTTGTGACCCAGCCGGCTGCGCCAGGGCTGGGACTCCCAAGGCCGGAATTATGAGTCGGGCTCAGCTGCCGGCTCATCCTACGGCTCCAGGCAAGGGCTTGGCCCTTACTCCTTATTTCTTATCTGCAATGGAGCTATCAATATTACCTTCTCCTTGAAAAAGCAGTGTGGGGAGGGTGGGGATTTGCTAATTACTGATTTTTAGGAAGAAGGGAAAGGAAGAAATGCTGAATTGATGCCATGAACCGGGTCCAGGAGGGTGAACTGACCTTGCAAAGTTCCTGCCGGTTTTGGGGTGTGCATCCTGAGAGACCCCAGCACAAGGTGGGAGCTCCTGCCTGGCAGGACAGGCTTTTGGGGCCAGGTGATGTGTGTTGGGGCATGTCTGGAAGATGAAAGGGCCGATTCTTCTTTTGATCATGAAATTCTCATAAATGTTAATGGGAATTACTTCGAGGTCTAACGAGGGTTGAATTGCAGCCCCCAAGGGAAGGAAGGGGATGAGGACCAACCAAGCTTTGGCTGGGAAATAAAAATGCTTGAATTTACCTTGTCCCGCACCTGTGAGAGCAGAAAACCAGTGGGTCAGAGGCTGCCCAGCATCCCTGCATGCTCTTCTGGGGAAGGAGTTTGCCAGGTGTCCCCCACTTTGCCCAACACTGCTGGCAACTGCATGACAAGCTTTAAGCATCACCTTAACTCTAAGCATCATTTTAATTCACCAATCTAATGCTTTCCCAGTGTACAGTTTGGATTTTCTTTTTTTTTTTTCCTTTGGGTTTTTTTTTTCTCTTACATTTTTCCTTCCCTTTTGTGTCTTTCAGGTTCCCACAGACTTCAAACTCACCTGCTCCAACTACTCGCCGCCTCCCCTGGCTGAAACGTGACCCAAAGTTTCCAAGTATCGTTACCTTGGGCATATTTAATTATTATATTCCCCTTTAGTTGCTAATTAGAAGCCAAGAGTAGAGGGGATGAGTAATTCCCTGGGATGTCAAGTACACACTTGCCTGAGCTTGCAAAGAAAACATCGTCCCCCTCAGTATAAAGGTGTGAAATAAAAGGATGTGATATTTTCCTTGATGTCTTTAAACCCTGGTCTTGAGATCCAAAGATCCTTGTTGTCTATCTTGGGAATGATTCATGCAGCTGCTGTGCCAGATCCTGCCTCCCCCGAGAGCAGTGTAGCTGTAGAGGCAGGATCTGGCACAACTGCTCTTTACATCCCCTTCCAGAAGTGTCTCCCATCCCAGGAATGGGCTTGGTATGGGGGGGAGAAATGCTGCTCCAGCTGGGGCAGCAAACCTGGGATGGCAAAAGAGAAAAGCCCCTGCAATCAGGCTCATTCTTCATTTTAAGGAGTATTTAAGTGTGCAGATGCAATTGCTCATCCCTCCCCACTCCCTCCAGCCATTATCCCCCTCCTTGAAGGATGGGGATGGTTGTTTTTGCCAGCATTTTCCCAAACTCAATATCTGAGCTCTCCTTAGTGTTCCTCTGCCAGGCAGATAAAAGCATAGTGAATTTTTGGTTACATTTGAAGTCTTTTTAAAGAATCATCTTCTGGGTGTGTGACAGCCTTCATACCTGTTGTGCTGTCAGGTCCAGCTTCTCCATGCAACCTGCCTAGAAAGCCAGCAGCCTGTGCCAAATGTGTTTGATTATATAATCTATATCTGTATCTATATCTATATATATAACCATATCTAGATCTAATTTATTATATGATATTAAATAATATGTATTATATAAAATCATAGTGGCTTAAACAATATGATATTGAATGATTATAGTATATCAATTATAGTAAGTAGGAGCTAGAACAGAGCAAACACTGGTCACAGAGCATTGCCCTGCCAAGCCTGTGCAGAGTAGCCAGGAAGGAGGATGGTGATGATTTCTTGCTGGATTTTAAGACCTGTGTTCTAGTGAAGAAGCTGAATAATCCCTCAACTGCAGTTACGCTAATCCTGTCTGCAAAGCAGGCCCTGTCTGTGCAGCAGTGAAACCCAGAGACTTAGTGAATATTTTATGAGATTTCTCTCCTTGTAAAGGTTGCAAAAGGGAAGGACCCCTGTCCTGAGCATTGCTGTCCTGAGCATTGCTCAGGACTCAGGACTGGATGCTGTACCTTTGGATGTAAATAAATTTTATTATATTTTATTATTTTATTTATAAATATATTTAATTTAATTCTATAGATGATGGGCTTTCAAACGAAGGGAAATGAGTGTTAAAAGCCAGGATTTCAATATTAAGAGTTTCAGAGCCAGCTGATTCAAAGTGGCAGCTGTAATTTAATTGTGTTGCAGACGTGCCAAACCCAATACCATAATTAGTGATTCAAAATAATATTTACAGCTCAAATCATACATATTTAGCAAGAAGTTGAAATTTCCATCTATTTACAATTTTACCAGCTTAAAAAGGTCTGTAAGCTCAGTTTCCCCCCCATTTTCCTTGGTTGGGTTTGAAGAGCTGGCAGAGCAATGCTCAGCACTGCTGGGAGAGGAGCTGGGGATTTTGTCCGTGCCCACGGCACGGGGGTTGGAACTGGATGATCTTTAATGTCCTTTCCAAGCCAAACTATTCTAGAATTCTGCGCTTTTCCCTGAGAGGACAGCAGTGTTTGCTGGCCTAGAGCAACACCCCATTGCGTGCCTGAGTTCACGCCAGCGCTTTGCCTTTGTGCTCTGGTACCCAAACCAGCAGGAGGGAGAGGGACCCACTGCACGGTTGGCACTGACACCCACGCTCACCCCAAACAGAGCCACAGAGGGGAAAAACACCCTCCTTGAAATGCTGCACGTGATGGCTGCCTCCCTATCCACCAGTATAATGGCACATTGATAGAGGTGCCAGAGAACCTTGGTAAAAACAATCTAAAGAAGAGGAAAAGGAGGTCGTCACATTCAGTATGGCAGGATCCCTGCTTGAGTGCTGCTTTTTAGAGCCCTCCTTGGCATGCAGGGCAGGGACGCCGCTGCCGGCCAGAGCTTGGCCAATGCACAAGGAAATGCCAACTGGGATGTGTCTGCCAGCTCTCCCAGAAATAAATGGATCTGTGCCTCAAACCAGTGGCCTTTGCAGGGAAGGAAGGGCTGTTTTTCCAGTGCATCCTCTTCCAAACCTGCTTCTTGCTGGGATGGAGGTGTTAATGCCCCAGTGCAGCTGATGGATTCAGGCACTGTCAGAGAGCACCGTCTATTTACAGCACCCATGAGGGTTATCATGTTAAAATATTGCTTAAACCTAAAATAACTTAAGAATTTCTAAAGTCATGACTTTGACCCAGGGTTTCCCTATCCAGCCTGTATCCAGGCAGGGAGTGGGCACTGCAGGGAGATCCATGAGGGTCTGTATACCAAAATCCACTCCAGGATGAGGACCAGCATCAGTGTTTACACTGTGGCTCTGTGAGGATTTGTCCTCTGTTTCTCTCATCTCCAGCCTCCTCCCAGTGCCCCAATGGCTGGATTCTGTTGGATCCAGTGCACAATCCCACAAAGCAGCAGTAATGATGTTCTGAGGCTGTGCTTTTGACTTCATGGGACATTTTAACTCTGGGTTGAGTTTTACTGCCTTGGAGATCTCTCAGTTGGAGATACCCCTGGCAAGGTGTGAGTAAGGGTGTGTGTGGCAGCCGGCAGGCAGCAAAGGGTGAAGCGAGGGCACTGGGGACAGAGAGGGAACAGCCCTTGGCTGCAGCTGGGTGCTGACCCTGCAGAGAAGCTGGGACTGAGATGGCAATGGGGGTCTTGGAGGCCACTGTGGCTGCCCAGAGGGGCAATTGCCTCTATCCTCCTGTCCATGGTCGCCCCCAGGACCTCCAGTTTCTCCCCCAGTTCTCCTGAGCTGTAGAAATACCTCCCTTAGTTCCACACAACCACCTCCCCTAGCTGCCCCGGCATACCAAACTGCCCCTCTGCTCTTCTGACCTCTGCATTTGCCCTTCTGGCCCCCTAATCTCACTCCCCAGCTCTCCCAGATGAATTCTGATATCCCCAGTTGCACCCCGCACCTCCCCGTATCTCTGTGAGCGCCCCGAACCTCCCCTAGTCCCTGACCCTTGCAGCTGCCCCGCAGTCCTACCCCATCTCCCCCACAGCCCCCGGTCCCACTGCCCTGCACCCCAATCCCTCTGCCCTGCTCCCTGGTCCCTCTGTCCTGCTCCCCGGTCCCATTGCCCCCAATCTCTCTCCCCCATTACCCGCAGTCTCCCCGAGCTCTCCCCTCAGAGCAGACGCCCACCACCCCGTCCCGGCCCCACAGCGCCCCCCCGCGGCCGCCCCTCGGGCCGCGCCCCTCCCGCTGACGCGGTGCCTGCGCGTGCGCGCGTGCCGTGCCGGTGCCGGCGGATCCGCGTCCGGCGGCGGCCCCGCGGCCCGGCCCGGCCCGGCTCAGCCCGGCTTCCCCCGGCGTGCCCCGCCCCGCCCCGCGGCCCCTCGCCCATCATGTTGGTGCCCGTGTTCACGCTGAAGCTCAAGCACAAGATCCTGCCCCGCATGGTGGCGCTGGGCCGGTACGACGGGACGCACCCCTGCCTGGCGGCCGCCACGCAAGCGGGCAAGGTAACGGGGCAGGAGCAGCCTCGGCGGCTGAGGCGCGGCCCGGCCCGGCCGAGCAGCCCCGGCGGAAGCCGCGCTAACCCCGCCAGCTCCCCGGGCAGGGCTGAGCCGAGCCAGGGGCTGGGGGTTCGCCCCCCTCGCCCTGCGCAGACCCGCGGCGGGGCCCGGGGACGCGGTGCTCGAAGCCTCGCTCTGCTGCGGCAGGGAGCTTGCAAACATTAATAGCAGGTGACGAGATTGAGCAGTAGCAGAGGTGCCCAGAGAGGCTGCGGAGTCTCCAGCCCTGGGGAAATACCAAAGCTGTCTAGACACAGTCTGGAGTAACACGCTCTGGGGGGACCCTGTTGGAGCAGGAGGTTGGACTGGCTGACTTCTGTGCCTTCTTCCAGCCTGAACCAGTTTACAAACCCAGGTTGCCACGGAAACGTACATTTTTCTAGCGGGATTTTTTTGAAGCCTTGGGTTTTGTCATGCAGTTCTCAGAGCAGTGAGCCTTGGCACTGTTACAAGCCAAGCTCTGTGCTGATAACGGGGCTGAGGTTTCTGTGGGTGATGCACAAACAGCCTGACGGGAACAGAGAGCATCCTGTGTGCTCTGTTCGAGTTAGAAACATAAACAAAACAGGATTAAGTACAACCTGACTAATAAAGCATAGGTTGAAGCATAAACCCACAGAGGCACTTAGGTTGTAAATACAAAGAGGGTTCACCTGTGATGTTTCCCAGCATTATTAATTTGATTTTGGCACCTTTAGGAACAGCATACAACAAGGGCTTATCTGAGGGACAGACTGCACAGCCAGAAAGCAAACTGTTGCACCTCTGACTTGGCTCCAGGCAATTGCAGTGACTGAGCATTGGTCAGTGAAAGTAAAACCATGTTTATCATTCATCCTTTTAAAATTAACCTTGTTCACCTACAGATGGAGGTTACAGATATGTACCAGGTAAAATGTCTTAAATGTTTGGGATGTTTTGCAAATACTGCTACCAGCTGGAGGTAATTTGTTTAGTTTGTTGTTGCTCCCTTTGGTTTCCTATTTTTGCCTTACTCCAAAGACTTGTCAGTTGTCATTTTCAGAAACAAACAAAACAATGATGTTGCAACTCCACTGGCCAGAGCTCTGTTTTTCCTGCCATTTCCCTTTTTCTAGTATAGTTTAAAGAATAACTGTGAGAAATAATATTGTCAGTAAAACCTCCAGTCCTCATTTAGGTTGAGTGAATGCCTTTTTCCCAATCACAGTTGTTATCCAAACAATAGTCTTTACTGTTTGTATACAAACAGATATATAGTTGTATTAATATTTATATCTTTGTTTCTACAGGTTTTTATTCACAATCCTCATGCCCGAGGACAGAGAATAAACACAAACAGAATGGTGCAAAGTAACCAAGATGCAGACATTTCTCTTCTCAACATTAATCAAGGGATCACTTGTCTGACTTCAGGGGTGCTGAACCCTCAGCTGGGTTATGATTGTCTTCTGGTTGGAACACAGACTAATTTATTGGCTTACGACGTGTACAACAACTCAGATTTGTTTTACAGAGAGGCAAGTTGATTTAAATGTCTGCTTCTTTTAGTATCTCCATAATTTTCTGTTTCTTTGAATTGTAAAGATTACAGTTTTTACATTACTTTGTCAACTAATTATGTGTCTGCACTATGCATTATTCCTACTGCTATATTCAGACTGTTTGGTCTCTAGAATATCTGCAGTATTTAAAAAGTTAATATATGAAAATTTACACATACAGATATACATTGCATTCATATGTCCCATCACCTAGCAAGACCAACTAAAAAAAAAAAAAGGCATTCAAAGCTCAGCTAAACTGACAGTGATAATGTTGGAAGCTCTCTTCTTCATTTGTGTGGTCTGATGTATTCTTGTCTGCTGTTTCTTTTTCCTTTAATGCTTCTCTGCAGGTTTCAGATGGAGCCAATGCAATAGTTCTTGGGAAGCTGGGAGATATTTCACCTCCACTTGCTATTATTGGTGGAAACTGTGCCCTGCAGGGCTTTGATTATGAAGGAAATGACCGTTTTTGGACAGTAAGACCATGCATAATAGTTTTGATGTTATTAGAAGATTCTTTCAATGGCACTAAATCATCTTGGTTTTCTTTTAATATGATAACTATTAATTTAGTTGTTGATTGTTCTTACTTTATCTCAGGCCTTAAACTGTATTTTGGCCATGTATTCAGTGCACTCAGATGTTACTTGAACATTGACTGTGTCAATTGTTCTGTTGCAGTTGAGATAATAAAAATAATTCAGTTTCTGACAGCTGTGGCCATCACTGAGTGCTGTCCTTCTCTTTGCAGGTTACTGGGGACAACGTTCGTTCATTAGCACTGTGTGACTTTGATGATGATGGAAAAACTGAGGTTTGTAATCATTTACACACAAATTCAGCTGTTTTTGTGGTCTTGTAGTAAAATGATGATAAAAAAACTTAGATTATCGAATACAACTGACTCACATCACCAGTTAAATTTTCTCATTTTTCTTTATGCCAGGAGCAGTACAATGAAATGCCTGTGATCATCAGTTGGCAAGGGATTCATTTCAGTGGTATTTCTTGAATATGCTTATGAACTTTTTAAAATTTCACAGAAACAACCTTGTTATGTGCAAGCTTACACATAAAAGTGAACTTTTAGACAGCTATTCTTTTGAAAAGCTTCACTTGGTAAAATTGAGAAATCTGTCTTCATGTCCAGCCCTTCTGTTTCCTTACAGGGACATGGGGAAATGGAATGCTCTTTGCCTTGCTGATTTAAAATGACAATAACTTGTAACACACATCTTGCTGATAATGGTGTGAGACAAACAACAGGAAACAGCTGCCATTCTGATCAGGCAGGCTCAAAGAGATTGGTGAAATTGTGAATTTGTATGGCATTCTCTTTTGGAAATGTTTCTTCATCCCAAATGAACAACTGTGCTTCTGAATATGAATCTTTAGGAAGAGTAATAGCTTCCTAGTGTACACCAGATGCAAATCAATATGAAGTTAAATCATTATGCTAAAAATACTTATTTTGTCATTTGTCTTAAGACTTTAAACATAATTACTTGAGCTTCTTTGTTCAGTTCCTGAAAAGTCCTCGTTTGGAGTATCCAGTTGGACTATGTAATAGTGATGGGTAAAGGGCCTTGACAGTTTTCATGTGTTTTTTATAAGCACTAAACTGATACAGGCCCTGCTTGATTGGGATCTTCAGGAAGTGAAATGGTTTCAGGTTTTCAAATCAATTTCTGCACAGCTCCTCTTTGTATTTTTTTAATGTGCTGAGAGGTGTTTATAGAAACTGGAGACAGTGTCTAGGGATTCAGAAACCAGGAAACTGATCTATGACACTAATTGCAAATGGTTTGCACTGGTGCTTTTAAGTGGGTTTTGCTATATTTTTCTGCTTGATAGAAGTTTATTTTCTGCAGTTGGTGCTACTTTGGGCTAAGTAGAGCTGGCTACAATATCTGACTAACTTGTTGGGCCAGTTACCCCAATGTGCATTTGCTGAGATGTTTTCAAGGTTCTTTTTGATCTTAATTATCTAGGTGATTTAAAAAGGTTTTTCTTATTTATTTACTTTTATTTGTGGCTTTTGTGAAACTGCCTCTGGTTTAAAACTGAAGTTCTGAGAAAATGCAAGAAGAAGCTTCCTAAATTATCACTTTGTGTCTTACCTGGTAAATGACTGCCTTAGCTTCATTTCTGTTCTTTCTGCCCCAGTAAAAACAAGTTTACTTTTAAAATGTACTGATTTTAACAGCTGCATGAATATACTTTTAGTAGCTAACAGAACTAACTTGTCACTGCCTTTCTTAGGATTTTTGGATTGATGAAGGTTACTTTCTGCCATCTGGCAGATGACTTGTGGAGCAGAACTTAGACTTGCTCTTTCAAATTTCTGTCCAGTGGAATGGAAGTCACTGAAGTGGATGGGGTGAATCAAACTAACAAAAAAAGCTAGGCACCTCTGGAAAACACAGCATCACCAGTAATTGTTTCAGGATTGCATGCTTTTGTCTGGTTGCCTTTTGCTGTTGGTTGCAGCTTTATCAAGAAATCTGTGCTTCTTAAATAGGTTAATTGTTGCAAATAATTTCAATTTGCAACACATTCAATTTGCAACAAATAAATTCAATAATACAACACAGCTGCTGTAGACTTAGCTTGGTATGATTTAGGTGATATAATCTGAAGCATCATTACTTGGGAAGAAAAATAGCCTTTAATATTTTTAAAAATCCAACTTTGTTATGGGTTTGTATCTCTTTTGCCAAGTAAACATGAAAGGCTCATGGGTTTCAGTGGGTAAAAGTACTACCAGGTTTTAGACTTTGATTTGTAATTCTGTTTTTCATTGATTTGATGGATGACTTTGTGGACAAGGCACTGAGCAGATCTGTTCCTTGGTTTCTCAATTTCCAAAAGAGAACCTGACAATTGTCATCATCTTCAATACAAACTTTTCCGCTGGGCTCCTCTCCTGGTAAACTAGGAAACAGGAAAAGAACTAAAATGTAGGAAATATTAAGGAGTGAGGATGCAGAAGACCCAGTTCAATGCCTATTGGTATAATCATTTACATCAAGACAAAACTGATTTTACTTCTACTTGGCAATAGTGGCAGCCAACACTTAGGCTGGAGAAGCAGAGATGGTTGATACTTGGATTCATTGGGTTGGTTTGTTTGTTTGTCTTGGGGTTTTTTTGTGTGTGTTTGTTTGGTTGTTTTTTTAAAATGAGGGATCTTCAGTGCAACACTTGCAACGTGTCATGGATCTGTTAAAACCTCTTCATTGCTGCACTTGAAGTATTAATTTGTCCTCTGGGTCCTGGTGCTTGCTTCCTTAGCTTGAATAATTATCTTTAAGGAGCACTATTTTTTTTTTTCAGCTTCTTGTTGGCTCTGAAGATTTTGACATCCGCGTATTTAAGGAGGATGAGATTGTGGCAGAAATGTCAGAGACAGAGGTAAATTATTTGTGGCTAATGTTTATTATAGTTGCTGACAGAGCTGAAAGTGTTGTGTACTCTAAAGCTTCTCTGGTTCAGATTTATTGTGTAGTTAAGTAATTACTTAACTATTTGGCACAGTATCTACTCTGCTAGAACTGTGAAAGTTTGAGTTTACTAATGTCTCTCATTATGCAGGGGGCTTTTGCTTTGTTTATTTATAAATCTGTCACCCCACTGAGAAAAGTGACTATTCTTGGCTGACAATCAGGAGCCTGTGCAAGGGTGATTAAGGTTGCTGGATTGTGATTGAAGCTCTTAGTGTCCTCTGAGTAAAAGGATGTCTTCTGCAGCTTTCCTCAAATATTTTTGATGCAGTCTAGATGATGTAACTTGTCCCTGTGTGTACATCCAGACAGCGCATGGCAGGGTAGAACGGGAATGCCCAGGCAAAATTGGAAGATTATGTTATAATTGGAGTTACACACTGGCTGTATAAAAAGAGCTGTGGTGACTAAAGCAAGGTGTAGGGGCAGATATGTTTAGAGGGATAGGAGTAGCTGTAGGAGTTGCTGTTTAACTTAAGAACTGAGAGAAGATGCCCACTGATTTTGGTTTCTCAGAAGGGAGTAAAATATCCTTATCACTGTGTTTAGAAGTGTTCTCAGTCCTCTCACAGCCCTTCTGGACCCAAGGTAGAGTGAGGTCACAGACCTTTGTCCTTTAAGATCTGTGGCCTCCCTGCTGCCCAAGATGGGACTAAAAGGCTTAGCTAATAAGCCACTTATGAAGAGCTATAAAAGACAAAGCCAGGCACTGTTCCAGAAAAGGAGGTTGTTGCTATCACTGCAATTAGAACTGGGCCTGTGACATGTCTTGCTCTTTGTGCAGTGGCTAGTCTGGTCATTAGATATTTCTAGTTAAAGGGATGCTAAAGGTCTGTCACTCTCAAGTGTGCTTTATTTCCAGATCCTCAGTAGAATTGTTTTAAGTTCACACCTGCAGTCATAGGAGACCTGTTATGATTCTACTGTTCTAACATAAAAGGACACAGTAGAACCTAAACCTTTCTTTTTAGGAAGGTAAATTCAGGGGACAGTGTCTTTGTACATTATATTTGGTTTGGAAGTCTTGGGTAGTTTTCATTTTCTGTGTTTAATCACTGACTTTGGTGAAGCTGAAGCTGTAGACTGTTGTGATTCTTATAAATGGACAATAAGTTTGGGTTTATTGTTACCTTTGAGTTTCTGACTGTTGCTGTGGTCTTCTGTCCTTACTGGGTGCTTGTAATTTAGTTTGATACTTAGGAAGGACTCAGCAGAAGATTGTGAGAGGAAAGGATAAAGGGTTAGGAAACAAAGTTTTGTGGTAAAACATCCAAGCGGCACAGTCAGATGAGTTTAGATAAAATGTTGGGGAAGAATTTAATTGAAGGAAGTCTCCTGTGCTACGCTGTACAGAAGACCAGACAGATGATTGCAATTGTTCCTCCTGAAATTAAAATCTTTAGTCTCAGTGTGTGGAAAAACCTGCATTTCCAGGCCCTGAGAAGCCTATCTCACTGAGGAATGGGTTTTAAAAGGAGTGAGAACAGGCCAAGTTATGACTCTCAGGTCTTTCTCCAGAGCTTATTCAGGTAGGACACCTAGCCTGGTGTTCCAGTTGTGTTCCAAAGAAGTCCAACTGTGGCAGTTTTAAATTTTTATCTTACCAGTACTGGGCAACGATTTTCTACCAGTAATATCTCCAGGGCTTTCCTAACCCAGGCAAGTTGAACCTTTGGCATCATCAGCTCCTTAAGCTTAAGGGATATTGTGTGTAGTTTCTCAATGCTGGTGTGTTAGCACTGATGACCACAGGAATCCTATGAGCAGTTGTTTTGCTGTCTGTGGTAGGAAATAGTTGGTCAAAGTACACAGTTTGAGGGCAGTTCTGCAATCCTTGCTGAAGTGTGTCCTAATACTGGAAATAGAGCTTGTGTGAGGAAATCCTACAAGGCCTTCAGTGATTTCAGACTGATTCCTAAAAGTTATTACTTCAGTATTTAATACTTCCTGCTATTGAAGTGAAGGGGAGAACGACCATCCTGGTAATGCATCGAAGTCCGACTTTATTGATCAATCAATCACCTTAAATAACAGTGCTAACGAACGCCATGAATATTCTGTAATCCAATGTCATGATAGGCTAACAGAGAAATTTCTAACCACTCCCTTTGTTTTAGAATACCTACAATTGTTTATTAAAGACAGAAACCAAAACAGAAACCAGAAACTAAAACAGAAACTAGTGTTCCCAAAACCTCTACATCTGTTCTCAGGATAACAGGCCTTCCCAAGGACGGTGTTCTGCTTGCCATGGGAAGACAAGCTGAGAACTTTATTGTTTATAGAATGATGCCTGAGAGAGTCTAATTGTTTATACAAGTCAGAAGGCTGAGAACTGTTAGAAACGGCCTTACTTTTCCCTTATACTTTTCTCTCAATTTTATGTCTCATGGCCTTTTCTTTAAGTCATTCTCCGACATTTCCCCCGTTTTTTCTTTGAGAGAAAAGAGGTTAGTTTGCCAGGTTCTCCTGTTCACTATCAGGGGCAAAGAAAAGAGAAGGGAACTCATCCACTATGCTTGGCAACACTTTAAACTTCAGAGTAGCTTCGTATGGGCCTCGTAACAAACTCCAAAAGAGCAGACCCCGCTCTGCCAGGGCTCAGCTGCACCAAAGGCCTGAGGATAAACAGGACACTCAGTGTCAGAAATGTGATCCTGTGGAGAAGGATCAGAACCAGTGCTCAGAGGTGGAATAATGATAACTTGCTTAAATAACAAGATCCACCCTGCACTTGGGCTGGTATTCCATTCCAGGCTCTATCTCCACAAATTAGAAATATTCCTGTGGGTAATTTCCTAGGTGTCATAATAGTAGCCTTTACACTGGTTATAAAGCTGTTTGGACACTATTTCCAGGTTTAGAGATGAATCCAGAGTAGCCCATGTCTGTTTATGCTGACTCATCCTTTGGAAATTAGAGTAATCAAAGCTGAACTGCAATTATTTAATGCTTGATTGGGATCTCTTCTTATAGGGCCTACAACAGAATGTTGTGTTAAAGGCACCAGTTTTCTACACCTTATTGAGGTTATATATGAAGCACTTTGATCTTTAACCTTTTTCAAAATACACTGTACCTCCCATCGATAATAAGCTAAGATTTTTGCTCATGAGATTTATAAAGGTCTGAAGCTGAAGCAGTGTTTAGCCCTGTCTCATTCCGTAGTGCCTGCTTCCAATTATGTTCCCAGATGTGCCTATAATTACAGGTGTGGCACCATAAATGAAAAAGTAACAACTGATCACAACCCCCACAACACAGTGCAACCCAAGCAGCACAATTTAGGCGGTGATATTCAAAACAGTCCTCTTTTGCCAGTCCTCGTATATGTAAAGATGATAATGATTCAATAATGTCAATCAGTTCTCTGGTTGTCCGGCAACGGCGTGTTAAGGCCTTATCAGGCATTGCACAACAGGTGGTAATTGGACTAAGAAAAGAAAGCTGTTAACTGTTTTCATTCATGCAACCTGGAGAGACGTAAACAAGCCTGAAAATGATTCTTTCTGTCCTTGAAGTTATCACATCCACCTTTTTTCATGAGCTTCCCAGAAATGTTCAAAGTCAGTTTTCAGTTTGTAATCCTTTAGTCATTTGGCTCAAATGGCATCAACTGGGAGATTCTCAGTCCTTTGTTAATTTGGAGTGGTGAAAAAGTAGTATGCATTTAAAGCACTTAAAATATTTAACTTAACAGACTTATTTGCAAATCATGTAAAATCACTTAAATCTAATTCAAACTTAACAGAATCTAACTTAACTTACTTAATAATACTTAGCAAAAATTAATTTTCTTCAAATCCCACACAACTCAAACCTATATATAATTTAAACTTAAAAGACCTCGAACCCAACCGAAAACAAGCTCAACAAACTTAACCTTAACATTTAATGGCACTTAATTGATAACCCAACTTAAACTACTTAATAACAGATAAAACTTGCTATAGAAATAATATATAACATTTACTATCACTCACTCACAGGCCTGACTCCAAAACACTCAACCAAAACAACCTTTCTCACGTCTTTGCTGCAGCATTTATACCAAAAACACACTCACAACATCTCACTCATACAATCAATCCAACACATCTCAACATTTTTAAACTTTTCAAAGCACAGCTTTAAAGTCTAATGTTCCACCGGCCCAGCCATCCGGGCTTCTGATGTTCAAAGTCTCTGGTAATACAGGTGTTTCCAAGACAGCATAACCAATGCCGAGCCAAATCGGCCTTTATGCTGATTTCTGCTTTACAGTCTGTGCTGGGGAGAACAAAAGATCTCTCTAACTTAGGTGAAAAACATCCTGACAGCAATAGTCCTTGGTGTCGCTTGTTTAGTTTCACTAATCTTTTAATTGCAATAGGAATCTTTTCTTTTGTTGACAAGAGTCACAGTTATTACGGCTGTTAGATCTTAAACTGTAGCTTTTGCCGGCTGTGGGGCAGAGGGAGAAACGCTCCCGCTCGAAAAAGCACTCTGAAGTCGGAATCCGCTAAGGAGTGTGTAACTAGCCCTGAAAATGGATGGCGCTGGACACTCATCAGAGCCCAGAAAAGATGTTGGTCGATCTAAACAGCAGGACGAAAACTATCAATGCACAGCATGATTGCTCCTCCATCACCTGCTCTCTGATGTCCAGTCACTGTTCCCAAGCAGCAACTGGCCGCCCGTGGACATCTGGCCCCCAGTTCACACATGAGGGCGATGCGGCTCCGGTCGCTCCCCCCGCGATGCTCTTTGATCACTTCCGGCGCGGCTCTAAGGGTGGCGCGGCTTGGTTTCTGCGGCGGCGGCTCCGTTCTCGGGGCGGCGTGGCCACTCCCGCGCGGCGGCTCCTGCGGCGGCGGCTTTTGATCTTCCCGCCGCTGCCTCCGGCGCGCCCATGCCGAGTTCGGAGTAGCACAGCACTGCAATTCTACCATAAATCACCGAATTCACACATTTCCATTAATCCGTAAACCATATGGAAAATCCCTTTACCGTAACTATAAGTCCAAAGTCCTGTTAAGTCCTTTTGCCAATTCATCTCTGCTTTGCGCTGCGGGTCACTCCCTTCGCAGCGGTTCAGCTTCGCCCGCGGTGGCTTCCTGTGGTGTCGGGTTGAAGGCTTCCTGTTGCGGGGGATTAGGAGCAGGAAAAGGTACCGATGATGCAGCGATGACTTCTGTTGGTGCTTGGCATTCCCGGCGCAAGCGGCCCGTGCCTTCGCAGCATTTCGTGCGGCCCTCTTTATTTGATGTTGCAAACGCAGCGGACGTTTGAAGAGGTGCAAAAGCGGCTAACACCTGAGTCTGAGAGGACTTTGCTTGTTCTTGTAAGCCTACTCCTAACTGTTTTATTGCGTCTACTACGAGAGCCTGTTGTCTGGTTGGTATAAGAGCCATCCCCTTTAATGCTTCCTCTACAGTCCAATCCGCACCTAAAGCATTAAGTATGTTTCTAGTAGCAGAATTACAATTTTGAAGGACACACTGCCTGAGTTGGACCTCGCGCAAATATTCTGGCACGCCTGCTCTCTTAATTGCAGCCGCAGCTCTACCAACAAAAGCATCAAATGTCTCATCTTTGCCTTGCTTAATTCCCATATACACTGGTATCCCTCCTGGTTCCTTCACCATATCTATCGCGAGTCTGACTAGCCGCATTGCCTCCCGGCACTTTTCTTGGCCTATTAAAGCTTGTGCATCAGTACGAAGAAAAGGCCCCAGCCCCATAAGCTCATTAATAGTGATACCATGCAAGGGATCCCCCGGCTGTCTTTGAACTACCACACACTCACTAACAAGTATCCGCCAATGATCATTAAACAGCAATTGTTGATGGTGGGTAAAGATTAATTTAACTATCCCACGACAATCATTAACAAGAAGGATACTGGTGTCAAAAATATAATCGAGCATTTGCTTAGCTGGTTCACTTTTAAAGCCAAACTGACTAACAGTAGCTCGCAACTGAGATAACAGCTTCCAGTCAAGAGCGCTAATTGTGGCTTGAAAACCTCCTCCAGGCTGGGGGTTAAAGACAACCGGACAAGCCAATTCTCGAGCCGAACTTATCAGCTCTTGATCTCCCCTGTCAATTGCATCTTTGGCCAGGGCAGCCCACGCGTCCCGTCTTTCCCTCGCAATCGCCGCCGCCAAGCCGATTTCCGACCCAGGGACCGGCTGATCGCTTATCGGGAACGGAGTACACGTATCTGGCCCCAGCTGCTGAGACGCAGCAGGTACGGGAGAGTCAGAGGTGCTCTGTGTAGCCTGCGGCAAAGCAGACAACAGGGCACCCCGCGGAGCTTGGCTCGTTAGGGGGGGCTGCGCGGCGGGCAGCGAGGCGGACTGCGCCTGGCTCATAGTGTGACTCATAGCCTGGCTTTCCGAGGGAGGCGGTGAAGCAGGTAATAAAACTGTCCGCGTCGCGGGACCAAGAGGAATTCCCGCGTTCTTATCAAATTCCCTATCTTGATCGCATTCTTTGTTACGATCGTAAGCGGCAGTAGCCTGGTGAGCAGCCCTTTTTTCAGCTTGAATCCGCAACAGTTCGGTGTTAACGACCCGCCATAATTTACCCCACTTCTTAGCAGTTTTATCATCATCTAACGTAGCCTGCCACAATAAATCACCAAATTTACGCCACTCAGACAATTCGTGAACTGTGTGAGGATTTATAAAGATCCCCTTTTCTAGGCCATACGCTAAAAGGCCTGGTAACTCTTTCTGTAAATCTATTCCCTTAATTTGCCGTTTTTGCAAAAGGGTAATAAAAAGTTCATATGCGGCTTGCCTTTCCATACCTATGTGCGCACGTTGCAGCTCTTCAAATCAAGGTCGCGGCCGCATGTCTCGGACGAGCCTATCTGTATAGTCGCTCGCAGCGCGGCGCGGGCCGGCGGGTTACCCTCCGCTTTGTCTCCGCGCTTCTTCGCCGTTCCGGCTGCAGTTTCGATCTTACGGAACCCGAACCTGTCTTCACTTCGCGTGGCGTTCGCTTCCCCGTGGTGTTCGCTATCACGGTCGGAGGTCACCATATATTGAAGTGAAGGGGAGAACGACCATCCTGGTAATGCATCGAAGTCCGACTTTATTGATCAATCAATCACCTTAAATAACAGTGCTAACGAACGCCATGAATATTCTGTAATCCAATGTCATGATAGGCTAACAGAGAAATTTCTAACCACTCCCTTTGTTTTAGAATACCTACAATTGTTTATTAAAGACAGAAACCAAAACAGAAACCAGAAACTAAAACAGAAACTAGTGTTCCCAAAACCTCTACATCTGTTCTCAGGATAACAGGCCTTCCCAAGGACGGTGTTCTGCTTGCCATGGGAAGACAAGCTGAGAACTTTATTGTTTATAGAATGATGCCTGAGAGAGTCTAATTGTTTATACAAGTCAGAAGGCTGAGAACTGTTAGAAACGGCCTTACTTTTCCCTTATACTTTTCTCTCAATTTTATGTCTCATGGCCTTTTCTTTAAGTCATTCTCCGACATCCTGCCACAGACTTACTTACCACTTAAGCAATGTAGGACTCATATGACAGATGTATAGCCTGTTCCCTGCTAGGTGAAGTTGCACAAGTTGTCACTCCTGTGTCCTCTCTCTCCCTCCTTTCCCTGCAGACCATCACTGCCCTCAGCCCCATGTATGGCAGTCGCTTTGGCTACGCTCTTGCCAACGGCACCGTCGGCGTTTACAACAAGGCCGCGCGCTACTGGAGGATTAAGGTTAGTCCATGGCTGGAGTATCATCACTGCAGGCTTGGAGGCTGCCTGGAGACTTGGGATCTAATTCCAGGTCATTCTGATGTTACCCTTAGGTGAACTTTGCTGAGCAGAGAACTTAATGTAATTTTGTTCTTACAACATCTACCTGTTTTTATAGGTTCATATAAAATACCAGGTCAGTTCCTGAAGTACTTTTGGGCTGTTGGTGGTGGTTTAAACAACAGAGATATAACCATACAATAGGGATTCTTCAGCTTAGCAAGAGACATTTGAGTTTGTGTTAGAAAATCCTCTGGTTGAATCAATAAACTTTTTCAGAAGCTGAAATCTTGCATTGTCTATGTTCAAGGTTAATTTTTCTCATCAATAGCAACTTCCTGCTGTAGCAAATCAGTTTGACAAGATCCTTTCCTGAGGCTCATTTTTATATTCTTAATATAACACAGAACAGTATATTTAATAGTAATAAGATTTCTTGAGAGGTGGCAGGAAGAGGCTCATGGTTGTCCTCAGTAGTCTAATTTTATGACCCTGTTGAGGCCATGATACTTTTTTTCCTAGAAGATTTGGTTTTTTACACTTTGTGAGTTCTAATCATCTGCTTGGATGGAAATGTATTTAAAGGAACTATCAAGTGCTTTAAAAGCAGTGTACTATATTAGTAGTGCAAGGGCCAAGATGTCACATGTATCTGTGACCTTAGTGATGTCCTGTTAAGAGGCATAGTTGCACTCCTTTCTGTACTCTCTGTAGTCTCACAGTCCAGTGTTTTGCAAGTGGCAAGCATGTGAAGTTTAGAGAACATATCCAGTCTTAATTTGTTCTTTCTTTTCTGCCCTCAGTCAAAAAATCAAGCAATGAGCATACATGCATTTGACCTGAACTCTGATGGAGTGTGTGAGTTGATCACTGGCTGGTCTAATGGGAAGGTGAGCTTATACAGGGGGAAAATGAGGAGCTGTAGATATGGGGGCTGTGTTTGAACAAGGCTGTTAAGTTATCTGATGAACAACAACTGAAAAATAAAAAAGACTTAGAAAGCTGAGCACTGCAGATCTATTGCAATAAACCTAGTTTGGCTTCAGAGTCTTGTGCCAAATGCAAGATCAGAGAAAAGCTGCTTCCCCTGCTTAGCTCAGAGTCAATTGCAAAGGTGTGGCAAGTTGTTTCCATGGCAGCAGGGATCATATGCCACATCCTGGAGTTCTTGAGTGTCTCTGTTCAGGTGTGTCTTAGGGACACGTGAATAATCCTCTGCAGTGTGATCTGAATGTTCCCAAACCACAGGGAAGACAAAGCAGTTATGTAACAGGAGAGCAGCGTCAGTCTTGACTGTGGCAGGATTAATCAAGCATTATTTCATTTTATGTAGAGGCATTCTATACAGCTCAGTTTTAGTCTTTTAAGCCTGTTCCTTGGTATTCCCCTTTGCCAGAAATGACTATTTTAACTGCCACATCTCTCCTGGATGCAGCTTGCCAGGTTTTTCTGTAAAGTTGTGCTTTTTTCTTCACACCTCTTATTACTCTCATTAGCCTGCGGCACTTTAATAACTGCATATCAAGCTGGCAGTCCAGAGCCCTGATGTGTTGTAACTTACATTGGATTAGATGTGTAACATTGTCAAAGAGAGAGCTGTGGTGGTGAAACAGCAGACCAGAGGCCTTACAAACTGAATCCTGACTCCAGCTGACAGAATCCGTGAGAAAGCTGACAGCTCTTCATGAGAGCAGAGTCCTGCAACAGTGAAAAACAACTTGTTTTCCCTGAGAAAGAACTCTAGGACTGGAGAAAACAACCTGTTTTCCCTGAGAAAGAACTCTAGGACTGGAGAAAACAACCTGCTTTCCCTGAGAAAGAACTCTAGGACTGTGAAAAACTCTAGCCACCTGTATAAATTGTTTTTACACCGTTAGGCAGGAAAATGAAAACTGTATGTCACAAACAACTCATTCTGCACGTACACACCAGCAGATTGAGTGAGCAATCAATACAGGGTAACAGCTTATTATGCCCAGCTGGGGCTAGACAGGGGATGTTCTTTAAAAACTCTGTATAAAGAGATGCATGAATAAACCAGGATATTTCCTCTTTGCTCCATAAATGCATGCCCTGCATCTTTCTTTACTGAGCTCCACAGTGACAGAGAACCTCTCCTTGCTTTGCTCCTGTTCTTTTCCACTGGTAGTCCCTTCCCAATTTGTTGGTCTGAAACAGTCCATAACTCCTAGAAAGAGTAATGCTGTGACCTGTGCTTTGGAAATTACACAGTGCATGGAACTGAGCCCACCTCACCCTTCTTATCGAATGAAAGATAATTGAAGGTTGTGGTATTTGTGTATAAAAATAATTCACCACACAAGGGCTGCAGCTGAGAGGAGAGGTTGTAAATACTGCATTAAAGTTATTTCTTAAACCAGAAATTGCTGCATCATATGTGCATAACCTTTCCAGTGCAGATTTGCTGTTCCTTTTATTTCCTTCCTTTTTTAGTTTCGTGACTTAGGGAAGTATCTCTGAAGAGAAGTTCCTTTCTAGCTCCTTCTAGAGTCTGCCTAGAGGTAATTTCTTGATAGCACTTTTTTCCTGTGTGGTGTTTAGATGAGCAGAGCTGCAACTTCCCCTGCAGTTCTGTGAGCGGAGCTGGCTCTCAGTTAACAGCCCAGAGTATGGCATGACACGTGTTTTGGAGTTGGCCTTTCTCTTCATGCTGAGGCTTGGAACTTTTTGTTTTTCCAGGTTGATGCACGCAGTGACCGGACTGGGGAGGTCATCTTTAAGGACAACTTTGCTTCCTCGATTGCAGGGCTGGTGGAGGGGGATTACAGAATGGATGGGAGCACCCAGCTAATCTGCTGCTCAATTGATGGTGAAGGTAAAAGCATTGTTAATGATATTAATGTAACACACAGCAATGTCAGGCACATCACATCATCTCAGATTAGCTAAACATGGTTTTGGTTCCAATGTTTTGTGTGCCAAATTCCCTTTGCTTTATGGGCAGTTAAGGGAATTTTGAGTTACGCCATCTGCAAACAGGATTTTGAATATTGCCTTTTCTGTGAGAATCAGCATGTGTTTCATTATGATCCAAGAAACCATCAAAATTCATTTGTCTAATGGAAGAAACTCCATCCTAATGCAAGGATAATGATATTCAGTACAGACTCTGATTCTTCAGGCTACATTATAATAGATGGATGTATAGGAAATATTTTTTCTGTGTTTTAATATTTTGGCTGCTTTACAGTAGGTAAAGGTGTTTATAGAGCTAAGGGTGTGTGTGTTTTGCTTTTCTTCTGCAGATGAAGAGTTTTTATATTAGAAATTTTAGATGTTAACAGCACTTTGTTTCCTGGAAAATGCTATCCTGAGACTGGAGAAGTGGTGGATTTATCCCACCATGCATTAAGAAGTCAGACCTTGTTATTGTGAGTGGAAATAAATATGATCACAGATGATTTAAATAAGCTCAGTATGAATTTACAGGGATGGCTCCAGGAGAGACACTGGTGTGATTATCCGACTCCTTGGCGTCAGTGGCCTGAGACAAGCAGGTCTGGCACAACCCATTTGAAACAAAAGCCTGTCCTTGTTAAATAGCAGTGTGTTTTGCTGACTGTCTTAATCACAGGCTGTGGGGATTTGCTGCATTTTGGCTTCAGCCTATAAACCTTTTTCCCAAGCTTATGGAAGGGGAACATTGTAAGCAGTTCTGGAGAGCCTTGTCCTACAGAGTTGTGTAGGTTGGTATCATAAACATGATCATCCTTTTCTGGTGTGTCCACTGTAGACAAGCCTTGCATGATGGGATCCCTTCAGGCCTTAGTAATTAGTGTGGCTGGGATTATATAGAGAGTGTTATTAGAGTTCTGTTTGGGACCAGCATCCTTTCACATGAGGTGTTCTCCTGTGTTGCAGTGGTTTTTGTCTTGCTCTCATTTTAAGTGAATGATTCACTCAGAAATAATAAAGTGTGTCTTTTCATTGGAGGGCAGTGTGCAAGCTGAATGATTTCAAGTTCCATGCAACTTTTTAGAGGGCAGCAGTCATTTGCAGTCAGGCAGCATATTCTTCCCAGGCAGAAGATTTTTGTCCCTGGCTTTCATTGTCAGAGCAGCAGTCAGGGTGCACAGCCTTAGAACAAAGTAAAAGTTGTCTCATCCCCTGTTCAGGTCCTCTGTCTCCACTGACAGTTAGAGGTATTTCCATAACTCTGTACTCCACTGAGCTACTGGGAAACAAATCTGACCCCTTGAAGTGAAGTATCCCTTGATTTGGGGAAAAGCTAATGTGGGTAAATCTTGTTTACTGGCTGATTAACAGTGACTTACAGCCACTTCCAGACAGCAGCAACTCCTCTGACCAGCTCTAGAAATCCAGGTAGACATTTTATTAATTTTGCATAATTGTAAACTTGCCTAAGCACCTTAAAGAATGATTGCAGTGGGAATCCTCTTGCAAAAGGACTGGGTGCTGCACTTGTCTGGTCAGGTGAGTACAGCTTAAAGACAGGTTGGAAATTCACCTTTATTCACCTTTTTTTTTTTTTTTTTTAAAAATATGTGATTCTCTTGCCTCAGTCACCAAGAAAGTGAGAGACTGTGGGTGTAAATCAGTGCTCAGGTTTTCAGCTGAATAGTACTAGCTGAAGACCAGAACTGCAGAGGTGGTACAAGGGAGGCATGTAAGAGAAACTGAAGTTCTGGGCAGGTTGTTGAAGTCTTTGCTGAAATGGACTATGTTTTGTTTTTGCACAGTCCGAGGCTATCAGCCAGGAGGGGAGGAAATGAAAGGGAACCTAATGGATACAAGTGCTGAGCAGGATCTTATCCGAGAACTTAGTCAAAAGAAACAAAATCTTCTGCTGGAATTGAAAAATTATGAGGAAAATGCAAAGGTACTGCTTAAATAATGTGTAGGGCCAAACCACACCTTGCTGTTGGGATAAATCCAGAGTAATCTGGGAAGCTGTTGTGGGGCAGTCCAGACAAGTCAGAGCTGTAGCTTGTCAGGATGCAGTGAGATTGTCTGCTGGGGGCTCCTGCCTCTGCATTTGGCTTGCTCCCTGTGCAAGTTCAGGACTTGCTTTTTGTATTTTAATAATGCTTTCTTTGCTTCTTCCTCTTGCCAGAGCAGTTGTTCTTAGAACTGGATTCCCTTCAGCCCTGTGCTTTGGGTTATGACTGAAAGTTGTAGTTTTCAGTGCATAAACCATCTTGGGAGTCAGAAGGGATTGTGTGAGAGGATCAGGGAGCACTGCCAGCATGTAGGAATCACACTTGTGGCTTGATGGTGAACATTTCAAAAAATAGTCTGAAGAAAGAGCAAACTCACCTTTGAACAGCAAATGACTACCATGGCAGAAGCTTTTAATTCTGTAAGTTGTGTTTAAAAACTGACATATGTGAAGTGTTTTTTGAGTAAAGGTTTGCATACAGAGCTGATGTCCATCCATAGTGAAGCACTCAGACATATTGCAGCCCAAGTGTCTCCAGCTCCATGCTTAATCCAGCCACAACTCATAGCTACTTTGGAAGTGCCTGGGAATTGTTGTAATAAAACCTTCCTCTGAAAGGAAAGACAATGACTTGTGTATATGTTTTCTAGGTTTTTTGAATGAAAATCTTGAAATTCTGATACTGATGGATGGTATGTGTTTTGTAACAGGCTGAATTGACCACTCAGTTGAAGGAAGCTGATGGGCAGAGAGGTCTGATTCCAGCAAACACCCAACTCCAGACAGCCCTCTCAGTTAATCTGGGCTCTGACAGCCAGTCTGCCCATGTGGAGCTGTGTATTTCCACCACAAATGGTGAGTGGTAACCTGCAACCATTGATATTCAGCTTCATGTAAAATAATGCAAATTTTTAGTTATATTTAGCTGGTGATTTGAATGTCTCCTCTTTATTGTCTGTAACGTCCCTTTTGTGGTTTCATTCCTTTCACAGAATTTTGAATTGAGCTTTGTTCCTTGGATGGGTCTTAGGGGAGAGGAGTTTGATGGAATTTGTTTCTTATTATGTGTTATTTTCTGAGGCAATTAACATTTAACTTGGATGAAACCAGCCTTGTATGAACGCTGCAGGGTGATCCCTGCAGCACTTCTTGTCCTGATTGTAAACACCAACCCACAGCTGCGTTAGTGAGGGTGTTGCATGAATGCAGCTGGATCTCAGCTGGCTTTACATGCAAAACTGTAATTACCCCAAGACAGTAAATTCACCTTGCACCAGGCATGCTGAGGATGCAGTCAAGTCCTGATAGTCCTGATCACCTGGGATATTTTAACAATTCAGAGTAGTGATGTAAGGAGCTGAACATGCTTAATTCTGAAAACAGTGGTGGTTTGTTGCCAGAGGACAGCTTTTAATTTGGGAACTGCTTTTTGTTCCTGTTGCTAAGACACAATCATCCGTGCTGTGCTGATCTTTGCTGAGGGCATATTTGAAGGAGAGAGCCACGTGGTCCACCCCAGTGCCCAGAACCTCTCAGGCTGTGTTCGTGTTCCCCTTACTCCACCCAAAGATGTTCCTGTGGATTTACACATCAAAGCCTTTGTGGGGTACCGAAACAGGTGAGTTTATGGTGTGATCTCTGCTGGTCTCCAAACTGTGGCACCAGGAAACAGCAATAATGTGGTTTCATGCTTGTCCCATGGGAAGTGCACCGTTAATTCCTGGGTGCCCTATTTCTCTGTCTTAGTGAAAGGAGAGCTGCTTTCTTAAAAGCATTGATGCACCTGTGGTGCTGAGTTCTTTTCCAGACAAAGTCTAAATGCTCTGGAATCACTGTGATCTGTTGTGTTCTGGTTCTACTTTTAGAGAAGGAATGCCCATTTTTCCAGGAGATGTCTTACTGAGGGAATCAACAGATGCAGAGACTCTGTCCTGTCATCCCTAAGGGGCCGGGCCCTCGATCATGGCTGCTCTGGATGAAGTACTTGAGTAGGCCTGGGGACACAGCTTTGTTTCTCAAGCTATAAAGTAACCCTGAACCCATTTGGCTTCAGGGCAAATAGAAAGGAACACATGCTTGATTTCAATACAACCTTTTTCCAGTCTCCCATAGAAATCTCTCCATAGAAAATGAAACATCTCTTCATGTACCCTTGAAAACAGCTTTCTTCCTGCTCACATCTGCCAGAGCTGTTGGTGCCTGAGGAGGCTGCATTCTTTCCCTGAATAGGGAGGCATATTTTGAGAGCTAGCCACCCACTGTAGAATAACTGTATGGGACTGAATTCCCTTTCTGTTTTCTCTATTTGCCTTTATTATTGCTTTTAATAGGACTTCACTGACCTTGTAAAGAAAATACCCAATTATATAGTAAAATAGTAAATGTATTAGCCTAGAGAGTATGCTTCAGTGGAAGGATTATTGAAAATGACAGCAATGGAGAGGAATCGTAGAACCTCATGGTAAACCAAATTTATTTGGAATTTCCAAGTTTCAGTGTTTCTTCTGGGGAAGCAGTAAGCCTGAAAACTGTGGATGTTAGTCCTCAGCTAAAAAAGAACCAGGAACCATTGCAATAGGTGAATCCCTGCTGTATTATTAATTCTCGGTTTTTCTGTTGGGTTGCTTCTAGCACACAGTTCCACGTGTTTGAGTTGACAAGACAGCTTCCTCGCTTTTCCATGTATGCCCTGAGCAGCCCAGACTCGGCCACAGAGCCCCTGAGCTATGTTAACTGTACCATGAATGAGAGGCCACAAAGGGTGAGTTTCTGCTCTTCTTCCTGGTTTCAAGTCTTGCATAGATGGAGGGTTTGCAATCAGCTTGAGATTCCCAATAGCAAAGGAGAAATTATGCAGTGAACTGCACTACTGGCCCTCAGAGTCTGTGTATTTCAACTCAGCCCTGCTTTTTTCTGTCTTTAAAAGATGACTCAGTTGAGGCACTCCAAGCATCAGGAATTCCTGTAGGAACTAAAGACCTGAGATCAGAGGGTGTTTCAGGTACTATCTTGTTTGCTGTGTGCCTGCTGATAGCAGGAGACCTGTAGTGAGTGTTGAATTTTGCAAATGAGTGGAGAACAGGAAAAAGGCAGTACAGTGCTCAGGTAGTGGCTCAGTTTCATAGCAGTCTCTGATTGTTGGATTTGATAATTTTCGGAATATTCAGCTTTGGTGCAAGATTCAATTGTCCTCATTCTAAGAAGTTCATGACATGGGGTTATGGGATGAAATTTAGTAAATGAGATTTCTGTGGTACCCTGAACAGAGTGTTCTGGTGCACATTATTTGCAGGGACATTGTGTGGTTCCTCAGGCTTTACACACAAGGGATGGCTGATGCTCTTAATTTTATTTTTGCAAGATCGTTATGTGGCTGAATCAGAGCTTCTTGCTGCCAGAGGATGCAGAGTTCCAGAGTGCTCCCTTCCAGGTTTGCTTCACTTCCCTTCGTAATGCAGGTCAGCTCTGCATCAAGATCAAGCCTGGTGGAGAGGTGAGTACCTCCCTGGACAAGGGAGCAGCCCTTCAGTGATATTCCAGTAAAACAAGAATACTCATACTGCCAGGAGGAGGCGTAAAAGTGAAGGATGACTAAACAGACAGAGAAAGTACTCATGCTTTTGGAAACTTTTGTGTCTGTTTACTGTCAGTGGGTAAAATTCCAGGGCCTGTTAGTGAAGTAAACTGCTTAGCCTGCAGATCTGTAGGAAGGAGACAAATTATTTCCTCACTGAATGGTTTCAGGGAGCCATAATGTGAGGAACAAAGGCTGCCTGTAACTTCTGCCTGTAACTCGTCCTGTGTGCACAGATGCCTCTCTATCCCAAACCTGAATAAAAGCCTCTTTGAAATCAGTGTGTTCTTGTCTACTGGAAGCTGTAGAGCTTGCCCATGCCCTCTTGATAAAAGGACCTGCTTTGATTGTGGGTAACTGCTGTTAGGCAATACTGCTGGGCAGTTTCAGATGTTCGGGCATGGAAGAGTGCTAAAGTGCTTTCTTTCCTTTCTGACAGATTTCTGTCAACACAGATGATATTGATCTAGCTGGTGACATTATCCAGTCAATGGCCTCTTTCCTGGCCATTGAGGATTTGCAGGTGGAAGCAGATTTTCCTGCCTACTTTGAGGAGCTGCGGAAAGTATTGGTGAAGGTGAGGAGGCTTTGGACACTTCTGAGTATGCAGATAAGCAGTCGCTGGGTTTTTTAATGAGAGAATCTCTAAACTATTTTATCTTTGTTGTGGAAATCAGCCCACAGTGGCTTGCTGAGTATTCTGTGGGACACTCAACCTTCTGTCTGTTTTTGTTCTGTAGAACAGGCCCTTGGACCCATCAGTTGGTTGTTTAGGATAAAGTAAATATGTTATCTGGGAGACTGAGCTCTGGGTTTGGGTCAGCATGTGAGATGTGGATCTCAGTCTGCTCACCCTTTCTGGGGGCAGTGGGGAGTGAGGGGAAGGAGAACAGTGTCAGGGATGCTGGTTGGTTAGGTTGGGATGTTACTTCCTATTGCACTGGGCTGAGGTTTAGCCTGAACCCTGTGCCCAGGGTGCCAAGGACCCTTGCTCATGAGTTGTTTGCCCTGGACAGGTGGATGAGCACCATGCAGTGAATGAGAGGCTCACTGCTGACATGGCTGAGCACTCCAACCTCATCCGCAGCATGCTGGTTCAGGCAGAGGATGCCCGGCTCCTGGGAGACATGTGAGCACTTGCTTCCTGGTTTGTGTGTTTGGGGATTAGAATGGCCAGTCTTTGTTTCTCAGGAAGAAAAGGGCACAGGAAAACATTGGTGTGATACAAGATTGCCTAGTTACAATTTTTGATGTAGAATTGTACCTTTGATGGTCTCACCACGAGCTCTCCTTGAATGTCATCATGTTCATTAGGTAGGAAACCAGTCAGGGGAAGGCAAGAGGGCAAGGGTAGGGGCTTAGTGTATAGCAGCTTGAATCTACTTCAAAATGGTGAGATATATTAGAAAAGATACATTAAGGGAAGAAAGCAGGAAAAGCTATCTGTGGTGTGTGAAATTTTGAAAACACCAAGAAAGAAAGTTGTGGTGTCAGGTTTTCACAGTGATTTGCTGTTTTCTGCTAATTTCAAGCTTTACTTTGAAGAGCAGCAGTAAAGAGGCCCAAGCTACTGCAGGGCAGTGGTACTTTCACTGGGGAAAGTGGTGCCTCCACTTTGCCTTGTGGATAAAGTAACTGCAAAAATAGGCTGTTCAGGCTTTTTTAGTAAAATAATGAGTATAACCAACATGTCTAGACAAGTCTGTTGTAGCTGGCAGACATGCAGGTGACTGTGGTAGCCAACACAACCATGTATTGCTGCACCTTTATATTGACAAACCAGGAATGACTTTCTTGTCCTCAGAGACAAGCAAATAACTGGACTGATTGTTCCCCAGGAAAAACATGAAGACACGCTACAGTGAGCTGTATGACCTGAACAGAGATTTAATAAATCAGTACAAAATTCGTTGCAACAATCACACAGAGCTGTTGAATAATCTGAAAGCTGTGAACCAGGCAATCCAAAGGGCTGGGCGGTTACGTGGTAAGTCTGTGTTTTGGAAAGCAGTGGGGAGTCTCAGACTCCCAGAGAGGCACATAAGATATGTCCCAGAGGTCACCTGGATTAGTTAAGTGACTTCAGGCTTTTTGGCCTGAAACTCAGTAGAAGTAGTTTTTCATTCTTTAGTCATAGCCAGTTAAGTGTGACAATCAACTGTGAGGGTCCCATATATTCTGGGATCACAGTTCTGTAAAGAACAATTTGAAATAATTTCCACATTTCTGAATGAGGCAGAAATTGATAGTTTTGTTGAACATACTAGTTTAAAAATGTTTTTAGAATTACTTCAGTTCTTACTTTATAATTCTGCTTTAAAAAAAAGCAACTACTAACTTAAGCAGGACTGTTTTATTTGCATTATTAGTCCTGTAGGTCTTTGGGGAGGGAGGTACTTTTTTGTATGTTTATAACATTCCCCTTCCAACAAACTCTCATAAAACAGAGCTACAGGAGATTCTTCTTTAAAGAAAGGATTTTATTTATGTACTAGAAAAAAGGTGGTGATTCATCATGTGTTTAAAAAGCATTTGAAAGAAAGCCCAAAAATTTCAGCCTGGATCAAATAAGTATTTTTACCAGTTTCTTACTCTATAACTGAGGTTTTTTCCCTTTCTTTTCCTTTTTTTTCCTCCTTGCAGTTGGCAAACCTAAGACACAAGTGATCAGTGCTTGTCGGGATGCAATAAGAAGCAGCAACTTCAACACACTGTTCAGGATAATGCGTGTGGGAACAGCTTCTTCTTAGGGAGAGGAGCAGCAGCTGTGCAGAGGCAGTGATTCCATGCACTGAGCATCTAGTGGGTGACAAGCAGTTTATTCAGACCCCTACTCCACTGTAGGGTGAAGTAATTACAATGATACTGCTGTAGTTAAGTTGTCAGGTGAGAAATATTACACAGACCAAAACTCCATGAAGAGAGCATCAGAGTTTAAGTGCAGATGTGGTATTTATGTAAGACAGAAGTTCAAACAGTTATTTTTTATTACAGTAATTTATTTATGTATTTAAATATATTTTGTAGTTAAGGCATTGGTCTTTTCCATTAAAACATAGACTGGCTTGACGGATTTTGTTCTGATTTAGTTGGGGAGATGTTTACTGCTAAATTTATGTGTTGAAAAAACCCAACCCAAACAACTTCTCTGATTTCTGCTGCATGGTTCATTTACACTTGAACTCCCTGTGCTGGAGAGTCTGGGGTTTCACGCAGGGACGCGTGGCTCTCCAGGTAAACTGCAGAGCAGTGCACGAAAACCACCACAGGATAACATCTTGCTGGCTCTTAAGCCAGAAGATCTTTGACAGATATCCAGTTCCATGATCTGTGCAGATAGGAAGTGGTCTGTCTCATATTCAGCACTCTCCTCACACCTGGATTGCAGAAGGTTTTGCTTCTAGCTACTGGTTCTGGTGCTACTGCTGGAAAAACTGCAGATACTGAGGTGGGCAAGGGTGCATTTCAGGAACAACAAAAACAAACTACACACCCAAGCTTGGTACATAATCATGAAGAGCTGGTGGTACTTAATGGGATCAAAAGAAGGTATTGGAAAATGACTTGGCTCCTGGCTCAAACCTGTTTAGTTGTGTGATCTCTTAGAATTGGATTAAAATATTACAGTAAGGCTCTATCTCAGATCTAAAGGTATTTTAGAACCTTTGCCAAAGCAAATTTCTTTTGGAAGCTAAAAATAACTTGCACAGGATGGAGGTTGGGCCCCAGTGCTCCTGCATCAGCATCACCCTTGCCACCATACAATGGTGTCAGCGATGTGGGCAGGGAGGAGCTGGCCCATCTCAAAGTTCTTGGGTGGCTTCTTGGGGCTGTCAGAAGGAGTCATGGCCTCTGACTGGTCTCTTAATGAGCCACTACCGAATTAAAACCAGCAACACCCTTTGTTACAGAGCCACTGGTGAGCATGGTGTGACCAGTTGAATGGGGAGTGTAATTCTCACAATGTTTTATTCCCAAAACTGCCCCTCGCCGCTGCCTTGGCCCCTTCCATATGGAGAGCTCTGCTGCTGAAAGCACAGACCTGTGTCAGTCGGAATCTGCAGCCTGAGCTCATTTCTATCCTTCCAAGAAACTGGTTGTTAGTCAAATCCAGCTGCTTGGTAGAAGGGTGGGGAGCCACCCATGCTGTTCTAAGCAAGTGAGCTCAGAGACTTGATTATGGAACAGTCTCCTGGCATGAGTGCTGGGCTTTCTGCCACTTGCTGTACCTGTTCCCACTGTTTTAAGCTCTTATTCTTTATGTTCAAAATCCTAATACTTGCTTGCTTACATTTATGTACTCAATTTAATGATAAGAGAGCAGCTCTGATCAGAAATCAGCTTTCCCATCAGTCTCATTTTCAGGACAACACCCCCAGCTCTGGTCTGCTCCTGGCAGTGAGGTCAGTCCTTCACTTGTTGTCCAGACCTTTGGTAAGGCTGATTTCCCCTATTTAAGTTTCTGATAATAAATTTGTAATTTATTTTTCTGTAAAACCAACTTTTACCTTTGCCAAATGAAAAATGTGTGTACTTTGCAAGCAGCTGCACCTAATTGTAAATACAGATTGGTATCCAGCAAGAGCATCTATAGAGAAAGCTCCCATTACTGGCACTGTATAAATGAAGGCCCCTCTCCCTCCAGTAGCTCCTGTCATTTGAAATTTTAGTGAGTGAAGTCTTTCCTGTGTACCTGCAGCACCAGTCATGCCTGGGGCTACCTGTGGCTTTAGGACCTAACAAGAAGGGTGGGAGAGCAGAGACATGTTCATTTTTAAACCTTTGAAAGCTAACTGCAAATTTGGCTTCTTAAATGACTTCATCTGAGTCACCAGAGGAAAAAGGGTGGTTCCCTGTGTGATCAGGTAGATAGGGGCTTGCTCAAGCAGAGGCTGGTATGCCCTCTAGTGTAATACTTATTATTAAAAAGCAGCAAGCTCTAAAGAGCCTGACTTCTTCCCAATCTCCTGGAAGGATGTTCCAAGATCTACCAAGCACATTGTTAGGTTCACAATGCAGTCAAAGAAGGAACTTTGTTTTGTTTATTAATTTACTCCCAACTTTGCCTAGCCGACTAAGCTGTGAATAGCTGTGGTGTCAGTCACTTTTGTTCCAAACTACCCAAATAATTTTTTTTTTCTTTGAAACCTCCATTACTTGTCTTGTTCTAGGGGAGAGCTCAGAAAAAGAACTTGTTTCTATAAGAACTGCTTTCTTCCCAGGTAGAGCTGCTGTCCCAATAGGCAGAAAAAGTACCTCAGAAACCATGATGCAAAAGGTTCTGTCCTCACTTCAGGATTTGTTCCTAGCTTCATCCCCTTGTCTTTGTAAGTGGCAAAGGAAGATTAAAACCAAGTAAGAGAGTTTTGGCAGCACACAGAGATGCTGGCTTTGGGAAATGAATCAGAGTATGAACAAGATCTTGCAACAGCACCTTGGGGCAACCACCTCCCAGCTGTCCTTCCTGGCCAACAGAGCATGAGGGCGTAGCTAGAACTGAGCAGCTGCTCATCATCTGGGATGGAACTGACACTGGAACTAGAGAGTCCTGCACAGCACACTCTAACAGCAGTGTTGGCCCCTTGCTCTGGCTCCTATGGGGGCTGAGATACCTTTCCCTTTGGAAGCAATGGCAGGGGTTCCTTTATTGAACTTTGTGTATTGGGATCAAAGCTGAAGGTTGCTGCTCCTGTATCTTCATGCAGACATGGCCACAGGACATCCCACCTGCTCAGGAAAGGTGCAGAGCACTCATGTCAACAGTGAGCCTTGCTTTGAGTTTACTGCTCCTGTACTGCCAGCTGTGGCTTTACACCACTGTGGTGGCCTCCAGTAACAGGCCTGGAATGGGAGAAGGAGCAGACTTTAATCCAAAGCTGCCCTCTCCCACCCAGGAGAGACAGGAGCAATGAAACATGCACACTCCCCAGCTCACTACAAGCCCATGGCCTGCACTGTCTCCTGAAGCATTGCTACAGCTCTGCTGCACCCCCTGCTGGGCTGGACACCTCAGAGGTGAGTCTGGCTCAGTCCTGCTTGCAGTGAACGTGGGGCAGGTGCACAGTATTGAACATGTGCAGGGAGGTGTTGCACCAGGGCCACACTCACTGCTTTTCCTGCAGTGTTTACCACAGGACTTGGCTGGCTGCTGCCTAAAACACCCGAGCTGATCTCCAGTGACGGAAGCCATGTTAAAACCCAGGAGGTCCCAGGACATAACAAAAAGGACACAAGGCCATCGTGTTTGGTGACCTCCCTACTAGCTGTGGACACCAAGCCAGGAAAAGGTAAGGTGCCTCATTCCTGCTCCCAGTCCCTGGCCCCTGTCCCGAGGCTGGAGCTCAGAGCAGTCTGCACACCCACCCAAGGAGACTGTGCAGGAGCAGGTTTCTTCTTGACTGTTTAGCTGTAAATTCTTTGGAAAAAGGGCTGCATCTGTCTACACAGCATTTAGCATAATGAAGTCCTGCTCCTTGTTATGGTGCCAAGTCCTTCCCAATGCCTTTACAGCCTCACTGTCTTCCTTCCCAACTCCACAGAGTTGTGCACCTGGAAAAACCTCATATTTCCCATGGCGGCTCCTTTATTTTTGTCTCAGGAACACAGTTAAGCCCCAGAAAATGTCTTGGGCATTTTCTAACAAAGCTTGCTTGACCAGTGTATGAAACATTTAACTGACCCATTTCCTTTTTTTTTTTTTTTTTTTTTTTTTTTTAATAAAATCAGTCAGCAGCCTGGGGCAATGGACAGTTGTAATTCTCACCCTGGTGGGTCAGAGATGCCACTGTGCAGCTCCCACGAGAGAACAGCTGGAGAGGTGACAGCTGTGTGACAACCTCACCCACAGAGCATTAAAAGCAGTTGAGAGTGTGCTACAATGGACTCAGAAGAAGACTGAATTCCCCTTTTTGCAGTTAAAAAAAACACCTGCCCCCACATTATGCAATGTGAAGGAGTTGCATGAGCAAAGTTTGTCTGTGCTTAGGTCAGAGTTGAATGTCTGTGTGGGAACCTGCCCAGCACCCAGCACTGTTCTCTGTGACAGTGGTCACACCACACCATCACTCATAATAGACAAAGGAAAAGTCCCAAAATCCTGTTTTGTTTGGATGCTTGTTCAGGCGTGCCAAGCTCCGATGGTTGATGTATTTCACAAACTTCATCGTTTCTTTGTCTCTATAAACTAAGGCCAAGCAGTTGTCCTCTGGATTCACTGTCAACAGCTAGAGGACACAAAGATAAGGAAGGAACTCAGTTTCACAAAAATAGCTTTGATAAAATTCTTAAGAAAAAACAAAACACTTTCAAAAGTCAGTTAGAAGAAAGGACTGGCATTAGAAAATAATCTGTGACACTATTTTCATTTTAATACCTTTTACCTGAAGCAGTTATACATTAAGGGCTTCTGGACTTTGACTGTTCAGCACTGTCCTAGTACTGATGCTGAATGGGACCCCAGTGGACAGCACTTCCCTGCTACAGCCTTGTGTCCCTTCAAGGCAGGCTTCCCAAACAGCCCTGGGTGCAGGTGCTGTGAGGCCCTCTCAGGGCCCAGGTCTCATGCTTTAGGTAAACAGCAGCCTCTTGAAGCTGAGGCCAGAGCTTTGCCCACGAGCAGTGACTGGGGCAAGGAGGCTCCAGTGCACTAGTGAGCACTCTCAGCATTATGTTGGCATTATGACAAAGTGTAATTATGTCTCTCCACCCTAAACAGCTTTGATTTTATCTGAGGTCCTTACCTCTTCATCTTCACCTTTAGCAATGTAGGAAGTAAAGCCACCATATTCAGGATCCCAGTCTTAAAATAGAAAAGAAAGATTCTTAGAAACCTCAGTGCTGTCCAGGCTCCATGCAGCCTTCCAGGAGACGCCATTTTTTCACCCCACTCCCCAGAGTTACTGGATACAGGGTAAGTATTTACCTCCTGCCAGTCTATTTGTTTTCTTCTATTCAGAAACAACTTGAAGCAAATGTACTGGATTTCCCTTTTATGGTAGATGGGCTATTTAAAGTTGTTTGGTGCACTGCTCCTCACCTGTAGAACAGTTCTGCCCTAGCAGATATGCCAAAGGATTTCAATCAGCTGTACATTCTGGACTCACTGGTCTGAAATGCTTGTGTTAGATTTTTTACCACTATCTAACTAGCAATCAACCCAAAATGCCTAGGTATGCCTTAAGTAACTTTGGAAAACGCTGGGCTTTGTGCATTGGAGATGTAGTGATAATTCTGATGTGCAAAGGGGTGGAACACTCGTGGGCGTTGTGGCCGCCTGTGCCTCCAGCGTGCCCAGAGCCGTTGCTGAGCAGGGGAAAGGCCTGGGAGGCTCAGCCTTTCCCTCTGCCCAAGCGCCACCTCCTGGCGCGAGCGGGAAGGGCCAGAGATGATTCCAAGGCCACAGTCTCAACCTTTGCATGAGGACTGCTGAAAGAGGGTTTGTGCTGAAGTGAGGACGAGGACAAAGTCTACAGACACCTTCTATGTAAGAAAAACCATGGAAATTTTGGCTGTTTTAGCACTGCTGAGAACTCGGAAGTCATTCCTTTATGCAAACCTTGTAAAAGAAGAGTCTGACATCTCTCTCTCATCCACTTACCTTCACAGCCACAGAAGAAGAGCAGGTCAAGAGCAAATTCTGTGGCTTGAGAGTCATGGACCAGAGTGTAGTGCCTGTGGGTCCAGCGCCGCAGCTCCCCCGCACACACAGGGCTGCCCGAGCCTAGGAGAGGGCACAAACATCAGGGAGAGCCATGAA